GCGGTGCACCATCGCCAGGAAGTACCCCGAGAGCGCCCCCGGGTGCTTCGCCGCGAACGCCAGGAGGTCGCCCTTGGCCTTGAACTTCTCGGTCTCCAGCTTGCGCTCCTGGGCGGGGTCGACCCGACGGCTCTTGGCCTTGGGCCCGCGCCACCGCAGGTAGTCGCTGCTGCTGGAGGAGCTGCTGTCGCTCGAGCTGGTCGAGCCGCTGGAGTCGGACCTCTTCTTCTTCTTTTTCTTCTTCTTCTTGGTGGCAGACTTCTTGTCTTTCTTCTCTCGCTTGCTGCTCAAGCCGCCCCCGTCCTGCAGCTGGCCCTGGATCGCGCGCACCTCCTGGAGCAGCGACGCCAGGTCGATGCCCGCTGCGGGGGCGGCTGCCGCCCCGTCGGGCGCTCCCACGGCGCCGAAGCCCAGACCCGCGGCAGCCGCGGGCCCCGCCGCGCCCGCGGCGGGTAGCGCAACCGCGCCCGCGGGCGGGGGCGCCGCTGCGGCTCCCGCGGCTCCCGCTGCTGCTGGCACGACGGCTCCGCCCCCTGCAGGTGGAAGAGGGCCCCCCACGGGCATGAAGGCGGGGATCGTCGCCGCCTGCGAGCCCGCATCGAAGATCGTCCCCGGCGCCAGCACGAAGGTCTGCAGGGCCGCGCCCACGCCCTGGGCCGCCAAGCGCAGCGCGGCCAGCTCGGCCACACTCGGGTCCCACTGGACCGCGGCGTGCGGCGGCTCGCACACCCAGTTGACCTGGGCACCAGGAACGCCGAACGGCGGCATGCGGAGGCCTCCCCCTCCAGGCACGACCACAGCGCGAAAATGCCCCGGCAGCAGGCGCACCAGCACCCAGACGAACGCGACCCCCGTCGCGTCCGTCGTCAAGCCGAGGCTGTAGTCCGCGCCCCGCACCTGCCCGAAGATCAGGACCTCGTCCCACTCGCCACCGCGGGAAAGCAGCACCCAGCACGGGTCCGCCGCCCCGACGGCTACGCCACCTGCAAGCGCCATCTCCACCAAGGCGTACTCGAGAGCGGTTGAAGCGGCTGCGAGCTCGCGAGCGCGTGCGCGGTCGGCCCGACGGGCCGCCCCCCAGCCACGGAGCCCTCCGACGGCCTGCGCGCCCAGAGCCCAGGCGGCCCCCAGCGCCGCGCGGCCACGCGACCAGGCGGCTCGGGCTCCCCGTGCCAGCCAGCTGCGATGCTCCCAAGCGAGAGCAAGCAGAGAGCTCGCGAAGGTCGCTGCCGCCTGCAGAGCGCGCCAGCCCCAGCGAGAGGCAGTGTGGGCGGCCTCGCCCAGCGCGGCGACGCCCCGCGCCCCCGCGACAGTCAGCACCCGAGCCGCCTCAGGCCCGAAGCGCCCAGCAGCCCAGCTCGCCAGGTGCCAGGCCACCTGACTCCAGAGCAGCGCCCCCGAGCCAGCGAGGAGGGCTGATCGCGCGCACACTGCGACCTGGGAGTGGCTCGCCGTGGCGCCCGTTCCGATCGCCGCCAGGCGATCTTGAGCCAGAATAGTTACGAGCGTGAATCCTGAAAGGGAGGCTGGCAGACATCAAAAGCAGCCCATTCCAGGAGCACGGACGTCGAGACGAGGCTGGATGAGAAACCTGGCATTCCGAAAACTATCCAGCAAGCTCTATCTATATGTACTAGAACCACGCGCGCACTTCGCGCGCGCTTAGGTTCTAGCTGCTCGAGTGCTGACCGCATTGAAAGCAACAAGACAGTCATGAATCATAAGGTCAACGTTATATGTTTCCTCCGGCCTCTTCCTCATATGTCGCCAAGCTACGGGACAGGAACAGTGCAGCCCTACGGCGCCATGTTGCACTATGCTATGGAATGCCATGATACACCATGCTACTGTATACGCGCAATGGCACGATGCAGTGCGCAATGAAACATACTCTACAGTGCGCATCGCATGCCATGCCATGCTGTGCTGTGAAATGCTATGACCGTAAAAGGGACGATACGCTGAACCATGTCATGTCATGTTCCCTATGAAGAGCGATGCTACCGCGTTACGTGGCATGCACAGACACGGCATGCTAGGCTATGCAATGTAATGCAATGCCATGCTATGAGCTGCTAGGTTCGAATAAACAGGGCGACAGTAAGAACAACAAGGGGGGTGTGATATTCGCATGAGTTCTGTTGAATGTTGCGCAGAGCGGTACAGTGCTGTTCGATTGATTTATGTGCATTGGGATGCCACGATACGCCACGATGTGTCATGATATGCAATGCCATGCTAGGCAATGTTAGGTCATGGCGTGCAGTGCTGGGCTCAGTTAAGCTAGACACTGCTATGGAATGCAATGCTATGGCATGCTAAACCATACTGTGATATGCGCTGACAAGGTTAGCTATACCGTGCTGTGCCATGCCATGCCATGTGGTGCAACGCTGCGATGCCACGATCGGCTAGGCGGTCCTTTGCTATGTACCGGTATGTTTAGGAGGCCTCTTGAAGGCCGTTTGGGGTGCCCTTGAAGTATTTTTTGGGCCTTGGGCGATCGGAGCTCAATTCGCCCGCCTCGGCCTAGCCCCCCCGATTGCTCATTTGAATGTGGCCCCCACAGTCACACGGGCAATCGGAACGCAATTCCCGCGACTCGCCCCCCGCCCCCCCCCCCCCGATTGACAGTTTGCCCCCGCTGACAAATTGGAAATGGGAGCTCAACTCCCGCGCCTCGGCCTGCCTCCCCGACGGTCCATGTGACAGTGGGCCCGCTAACCACCTCCTTCCCCCCGCCTTGGCTGGGCCTGCACGCTTGCCAGTGGAATGGCTGCCCATTGGGCAATTCGGGCCCAGGAGCTACATAGATGCTGCAGAGGCCTTATGGAAGACCACCGAAGAGCCGCGCGAGAGCATCCGAATGACCCCATCGCGAGCTTCGTAACAAGAGGGGCCCCAACGGGGGCACCTGACTAAGAGACCGTGGAACATCGAGTTTGACAACTTACGTTTTCGGCTCAATGTTTGCGCCATCCAGAACGTCTCCATTGCAATTTCCACCGCTTCTTTGGGCGCGCGACCATCTCATCTGCATCGATCGCAAAATCGTCGCGACAAGGTTGGCACCGAAACCCCAAATTCGGAACAACTGGGTGCAAACGGTGAGCCGTGAACCTGGTCACCGCCGGAAGCCTCGTAGAGTTCCTCGCGCGCGTTGTGTTCCTGGTGGCCACAGGTCTTCGCTCCACCGAATGCCTCACTGGCAAAGTGCCGCATAGCGTCTCTCCGCCCATTCGGGGACACCCCTCGCCTGAAACATTCCGTGGTCCCGCGGGTAGCTGGCTGGTCCGATTGGCGTCAGCAGCTAAAGTTCTTGTCCCCCGAAGCATACTAAAGCGCTGGGGCAGAAGCACTTTTCGCTTCACGCGGCTAAGAATACAGCGTTTGCACATGCTTTGTGACGTCAAAGACTTCACGACGAGCTCAATGGAAGTCGCGGAAGAGTCTTCTAGGAGCCCTCTTGGGGCAGTCCTGCGATCCTCTTTGGGCGTCTTGGGGCCTTCTCGGCCCGCCTTTGGCCTCTGCGAACTCCCTTGAGCCCTGTTGGGAAGCGTCTTTGGGCGGTCCTGGTCTGTCGCGAGGCTCTTTTGGGACCATCTTGGAGTCCTTTCGGGGGCATCTGAGTCCCGCGCAGCCCTCTTGGATTTATCATGAGAGGACAGAAATGACACGATGACTACTAATAAGACTGCCGCATGGTTTGACTTATATTGATTGCCTAGATATCCTCGTGGGACCCTGGGGCCATCTTGGATGCATCCTGGGGCCCTCTCGGGCTGCCCTTGGGCCCTCTTAGGCGACGTTGGCAACGCTTAGAACCTTTTTCCATTTGGAGCAACATGTACCAGGTAATGTCTGCGATGCGAACGGCAATGTGCACCCCCTGCTATCTGCGGGTGCATCCCACTGCCATCTCACATTTCTGCCAAGCTACGCACCTGGCAGCATGGAGACGCACCGTAAAGCATGCACTGTTTGCAATGCGAGCGGGAATGGTGCAACCTTCTATTTGCGGATGCATGCCGCTCTGCCCTCACAGCTTGCGCAGCAAAGCTACGCGCCTACTCGTTACAGCAAATTGCGACGATGAGAAATTATCCCGGCAAATCAACCTAACAGCGATGTGTAGGAGCACAAGCCACTGAGACTTTAAACTCGGGAGGGAGGGGAGGGAGACTAGAACCAAAAAGGCTACACTACAGAGCAATACAGAATGCGGACTCAACTGGGAGCAAGCTCTGGAGATGAGACCGATGCACTCTCACACTGCCACATCAACTGAGAGGTGCATTTGCAGGCTTGTGCGAGATAGTTGGACTCATTCAGAGATGCAGGCGAGCACAAGCCACTGAGACTTTAAACTCCAAAACCCCGAATGCAAGCGTAGCTGTTCCGTGCGTCAAGGCTTCTACAGAGCCGGGGCCACGAGGTTGGCCAGCAGAGCACAGAGTTCGTGAGGATAAGGCTGCGCCATGGCCGTGCGCCAAACTCCATTGGCGCCTTTTCCCTCCAGAATCGTGCGCGAGCAGCCCGAGCGCGAGCATGCGCTCTTGGAGGGTCGGCACCGCGGCAGAGCAAGTGGTGGCCAGCTCGCAAAAAGGATTTTGGTGGCCTTCTTCCAAGGCATCCCAAATTGGCAAAAGTCTGTTACCTGCATGTTGGCCGTTGGCAGAAGCGACAACGACCTGACCTCTTTGGTGAGCCAGACGCGGCTCGTGGCTGGATTCTCAAGGGCACAGGGGCAGCCGCACTCAGCTGCCAGCTTAAAAATTCTAGCCGTTTGCCTCAAGAGCAAACTATGCAAACGCACCTTGCCTGCATCACCGGGCGAGAGATCAGGCAGCCCGTACAGGTGAGCGTCGTCATCTCTGAGCGGACCTGGCCCTCGCCCGTCCCAGCGCCTGGCTCTGGACCATGTCTGGCAAGACCAAACCAGACGAAGCCGATGACGCGGTCCACAATTTCTTTTTCAAGTTTGCGTAGAGACTCAATCTTCAGAAAGTCAGCCGCCTCGCCTTGCTCGTTGTCCCAGGCCTCTGCTGGAATGCCGGCGCTGGCGAGAGCTTGCGAGGGCCTCCCACAGCCTGAGAAGATCTCGACGGCCCGACACCCCTGGACGAGGCGGCGGCCCGTGGGAACAAAGAGGTGTGGAACGCGTCCTTCAACTTGTCTAAAGCCAAGGCACCTTTCTTGTTCGTGTCGTCCGAGACCTTCGCCTGCTGCTGGAGCAGGCGCCCGTGAGCTTCGTACCTCCTCACCGTGCGATCGGATAGCCACCGACCCCTTGCCTTGACGCTTGCCAACGACCTTCTCTTGAACAGGATGTCGTGGCTGGGACCGGAGTGCCTCATGTGATACGCGGTGATCCTGAGCTTCTCCAAACCGACCTTCTTGGCCGCTCCCACCATGGTCTGACCGAGGAGCGGATACTTGAAGTCGAAGAACAGCCTGTCTGGTTGACCTTTTCTGAGTCCTGCCAGCAGGTCTCCCAGCCATGGGAGGTCGGCCGAGTCCAGCACCAGGCTCTCCTCGAAGAGGTTGACCTTGGAGGGGTGCTGGTCCAGCTCCTCGTGCATGTGCAGGCTCCACAGGGCAGCAGCCGAAGTGCACGGCGGCGCGACGAGGGCCTTCTCCTTCAACCTCATGGCCTCCCCCAGCCGCAGATACGCAACCCACATCGTGGCCGACGCAAGGGCCATGAGCGGGCACCCCATGTGGATCATCTCGAGCCACAGGATCGCGAGCGGGCGCAGCGGGATCGGAGGCCTGGTCTTGCCAGGCTCCAGCCTCCTCCAGCCCCGGAGCGCCTTACGGGCCCTCGGGAGGACGAGCCTGCCGGCCTTCGAGTAGTCGGGGTAGAAGTACATGTAGGCAGCCAGCGCCTTCGCCCCCTCCGAGACGTCGTGCCCCGTCGCCCACATGTGGTTGATGTAGTCCGTGAGCACGAGGTCGGGCTGCCTCTCCAACTTGGCCGACAGCCGGTTCTTGGCGATCCACTCCTGGAAATCCGAGTGGCGCTGATCGTAGTCCTTGTACGTCTTGGTGCTCACCGAGCTGGACTCGAGGAAGGTGCCCTGCCCCTCCACGGCCTTGGCCCCGGCGCTGCCCGCCAGCGAAGCGCGGGAGGCTGCCCGGGCCCTTCTCGTGGCGTCCCCAGAGGCGAGCGTCGTCCTCTTCGTCCAGCTCCAGCCACTCCGCGAGCGAGATGGTGGCTCCTGCGCCGGGCGGAGGGTCCGCTGCACAGGCGGAGCGCCGGCGCGGCTCCCAGAGCCGGGAGCCCTCGTCGGCATGGTTGCTCTCCGAAGGGATCCAGCGGTACACGTAACGCGACCCCGAGGCCACTGAAAAGGCTGCGGTCTTACGGCATGACTTGTTGAGAGAGAACGACGCCGACCTGCCCTTCTCCATGGCCAGCACTGTGCCTAAGTTGTCCCCTAAAAGGAGGTGTCGCCTTCGAAACCCATAGAGGCCCCTCGTAGTGTGACGAACTCCAGAGGCCATACCGACACCCTCCAGGACTGAGATAGGCCCATCACGTCCACGAAACCTCGAGGCATACTGGAGCTTCCAGTCTTCTTCCTGAGGTATCCCGGATCGATCTCGGCGAAATCGGGGTTCGGCTCGTGCGTCGATATAGCTTTCGGCTGGACGATGGTCTTTACGGTGTTGATGTCACTAAAGGGGTCGCCGAAAGCAGGCAGGGCAGCATCGCGAGGTGCAGTCGCAGACGGCAGACGGCTCCGATACCTCCACTTCTCCCGGACGGACCCGTAATTCTTGATGACCTCCTGAGGCCAGCGCGTAGCAGCAACGGCAAACCCCGAAAGACACGCATCGGTAGCGATGACCCTCTCCGACCACTCCATGCAGAGATCAGACATGGTGACCTGGATGAGATACGACACCTGACGAGCCTCGTGAGCAGCCTCAGCCCAAAGACGTCCTGGAGCAGCCCCCAACTTAGCAGCGAAGTCATACATGCGCCTAAATACCGAAAGCCCAGGACGGAAGATGAGGAAGGCGGCGATGCAATGACCGATGAACCGACTCAACGCCAGACCTGTGATCCGAGGCCGTCGCGACAGAGCTCTGGCATCGGCAGCAATCCGCCCCCTGCGCATCGGATCGACCCAGACCTTCATAGCCCCCCCGTCGATGTGGCATCCCAGAGCGGTGAACTGCCTAACGGGACCGAAGACCTCGTGGACGACAAAGCCTGACTTGACGAGCTGGACAATGACGGCATCTCGAGCCTCCCTCGCCATCGTGGGGGTCGTCGCAAGAACCATCAAGTTGTCGCAATACACATTCAGAACTGGGAGATCCGAGCGCCATTCAGGAACAGGGGCCCCCTCCTCCATGAGTCTCGAGGGCGCCCAAGGCAACGCAAGACAGATCTGATGCATGTGCACACGCTGCGCCAGCCACATCGCCCAGGTCCAGCCCATCGGCACAGAACGAAGGCGAGGCCTCACCTCTAAAAGTCCATGGAGTGCCCCGCCCAAGGCAGCGGGGACGCCCCACTCGAGCAGCAGCGCGCCCGGCACAGGCGGCAGCGCAAAGAATGGCCGCAGGCCAGGCGGCATGGCGAGCCAAAAGAAGTAGTCCGCGATGTCGGAGCCGGCACCCCTGCCCTGCTCCTGCAGCTCCGGGGGGATCTGCAGACCGGCGAACGCCGAACCACTCGCCATGCGGATCTTGGGCGGACTGCGCCAGCGGATGTTGGCCACCCGGCAGTCCCGCGCGAGCCGCTGCTTGCCCGACTTCTTGCGTACGAAGAACGGGTACGCGGTCTCAAAAGCGTCCGTTCCAAAGTCCACGAAATTGGACTCGAATAAGTCGCGGACGAACTGGTAGTATAGCAACTTGTCCCTCTTGAGCCTCACGTCCATGTAGGGCTTAATGTGCGCCTGCTGGTCCATGATGGCTCCAATCTCGACGGGCGAGCGGAGCATCGCGGTGGCGAAGCCGTCGACTACGCCTCTGCCGGAGTCATCGATGACATCCGTCAGCCACGGAGGCGAAGCCCCCGCTGCTGGCATCGAGACCCGGCCTCGATCATACGGCTCCACGCTGCAACTGGAGTCGCCCCCAGCATAGGAGAACTCCGATCCACAAAGCGCCTTGAGGGCTTCGCGGTCTTTGTACAAAGATGTGCAGGGAGGCCTTGCCGCCAAGGTAGACAAAACTTGGCCATGGGCAGCGCGATGAGCAGCCGTTGGCCTGAAGGTAGAGATGGCAGCCGGGGAGGCCAAAACGTTGAGCGTCTCAATGACCCCGTTGGCGAGCAGCTGCCTCGAACGCCTCCTGGCCATACGCTTGAAGACTGTAGCAGATAAGCCGGGATCAGGCCGCTCATCAACATCGACAGCTGGCAGAGGAAACAAGTCACGCTGACGACTCGCCTCCACATACCTATCAAAATCTGCCGACACTGGGTCCTCTGGCACAGCACCGCGGGTGGGCCAGGCCCGCGCGCCAGGAGGCAGCGAGGTCATCCGCCCCCCTCCCCTTCGGCCGGGGCGAGCCCTGCTTTGCCTCCTTTTCCTCCACCGCCCTTGCCTCCTTTGCCGCCGCCCCCTCGACTGCGACGCTCCTCAGCAGCCTTCCGTGACTCTTTGAGGATGGCAGCCTCGTCCCTGAACTTGGTAGCCACATGAGCGGCCAGCTCCGGCGCCACTGAAGCTGAGGCGGTGGCCGGCCCCCAGCCCATGAAGTGGTCGGCGCCCGAGAAGTCAGGCGCCGACGCGGAGTGCGCGCAGGCCGATTTGATGAGCTGCAGCCTCCTGATGACGAGCTCCATGGACTTCAGCGCGGGCACGTTCAACTGGTCGTGGCACACAGCGGCGGAGAGCACCTGCGACAAGACGAAGTGCTCGTGGATAGCCCGGTCGCCCTCGTGCAGCCTGGCCTTGCGCAGCCAGGCCTCGTGGGCCGCCTGGGGCGTGGGCCCGTTCTCCGCCACGCGACGGCAGGACCAGGAAGCCGTCCGAGGGCCCTGCAGATCCAGCCCGCCAGCGGGCAGCGTGTCATCCTGCCGCTGCACCCCCTCGCTGAAAGTGACCCTGCGCGCACCGCTCGAGTCAAACTGCACCGGCTGCACACGCAGATCATCATAGGTGAAGCGGTACACCTCTGGGCGTGTCATCTGCCGCAGGCCGACGAAACCTCCCTTCCAGGGCATGATGGCCCTGTCGCCAGCAGAGATGGTGTCCGCCGTGATCTCGACCTCCGTGCCCTTCGGCAGGTCCTCGGCGTCCTCCGCAGCGACCCAAACGAGGTCCGCCCGGGGAGCCGGGGCGGCGACTCCCGCCGCCTGGACCCCCTGCCCGGGGGGCCTGGGGTCGGCAGGCCCCTGGGGTGGCGGAGGCCCCGCTCGCGGAACCAGGTCGCCCCCTCCAACTTGGCGAACCCGAGGTACATCACCAGGAGCCGGGAGCCCGAGCGCCAGGGCCGCGTCGAGGACCTGCTGCCGCAACTCCTCCACGGTCGGCACGTCCCTGAAGCGATAGATGCGCGCCCCCTGCAGCGCGGGCGGGGTGTCCCCGAGCCCGGCAGCACCTCGGATCCTCTCGACATCGGCGGAGGCGGGCGAGCAGTCCTCTATGTACGCATTCCCGTCGGGGGTCAGCATGTAGTAGTGCCCCGCATCGGTCGGGTGGACCGCGAGTACGATCCTCTCGTGCCAGAGGTCGGGCCCCGGCACATTGTACTTAACCAGTAGAACGTCACCTACTCTCGCCATGGCGACGAGCTTGGATCAGCGCCAACTGCTTCTGAGCAAGGTCCTGTAGATCACCTTCCAACTCAAACGGCTGAGTAGCCTGGGCCGATGGCTCGACCCGAGCAGTGCGCCTCCTGGCACACACCCAAGTTGGTACTGCAATCAGCGCTCCACAGAGCCAGCCCGCCCCAAAGAGGGTGAACCCGGCAAGCAAGTACGCCAGGTGCCCGATGACGCCCGGGCCCTCCGACAGGCACTCCACGTGGATCGGCGGGATGTGAACCTCCGGGCAGCGCAGCTCCACCTGCGCAGGCGGCGGCGCTGGGCAGGAGAGATTGACCACAGTATCGTGCCGCGCGCAGACCGCGGCCGAGACAGCAGACTGAAGAGAGAGATCTATCAGTCGGGGCAGGTAAGTGGAAAGCGCCTCCCACATGCAGGGAGAAAAGACTAGAACCAAAAAGGCTACACTACAGAGCAATACAGAATGCGGACTCAACTGGGAGCAAGCTCTGGAGATTATCCCGGCAAATCAACCTAACAGCGATGTGTAGGAGCATATCTGGAAGCATTCCCCTTAATATTCAAATGAGAACCCAGTTGTAGAATTCTGCTGTTCTCGCAGTCGTAGTCGCATTCGCGATAACAGTCGCAGCGGCAACGGCAGTCGCAGTCACAGCCTCAGCCTAAGTCTGCATCAGCTTCAGCCTCAGCCTGCCTCAGCCTCAGCCTCAGCCTGCTTCAGCCTCAGCCTCAGTCTGCCTTCAGCCTCGGCCTCAACCTCAGCCTGCCTCAGCCTCACCCTGCATCAGCCTCAGCCTCAGCCTCAGTCTGCCTCAGCATCAGCCTGCATCAGCCTCAACCTCAACCTGCCTCTGCCTCAGCCTCAGCCTGCTTCAGCCTCAGCCTCAGTCTGCCGTCGGCCTCGGCCTCAGCCTGCCTCAGCCTCAGCCTCAGCCTCAGCCTGCCTCAGCATCAGCCTGCCTCAGCCTCAGCCTCAGCCTCAGCCTGCCTCTGCCTCAGCCTCAGCCTGCTTCAGCCTCAGCCTCAGCCTCAGCCTCAGCCTGCCTCAGCCTCAGCCTCAGCTTCAGCCTCCTCCTGCCTCAGCCTCAGCCTGCCTCAGCCTCAGCCTGCTCAGCCTCAGCCTCAGCCTCAGCCTCAGCCTCAGCCTCAGCCTGCCTCAGCCTCAGCCTTCAGCCTCAGCCTCAGCCTCAGTCTGCCTCAGCCTCGGCCTCAGCCTCAGCTGCTCAGCCTCAGCCTCAGCCTGCCTTCATCAGCCTGCCTCAGCCTCAGCCTCAGCCTCAGCCTGCCTCAGCCTCAGCCTCAGCCTGCTTCAGCCTCAGCCTCAGTCTGCCTTCAGCCTCGGCCTCAGCCTCAGCCTGCCTCAGCCTCAGCCTGCATCAGCCTCAGCCTCAGCCTCAGCCTGCCTCAGCATCAGCCTGCCTCAGCCTCAGCCTCAGCCTGCCTCAGCCTCAGCCTCAGCCTGCTTCAGCCTCAGCCTCAGTCTGCCTCAGCCTCGGCCTCAGCCTCAGCCTGCTCAGCCTCAGCCCAGCCTCAGCCTCAGCCTCAGCCTCAGCCTGCCTCAGCCTCAGCCTGCCAGCCTCAGCCTCAGCCTCAGCCTGCCTCAGCCTCAGCCTCAGCCTGCTTCAGCCTCAGCCTCAGTCTGCCTTCAGCCTCGGCCTCAGCCTCAGCCTGCCTCAGCCTCAGCCTGCAGCCTCAGCCTCAGCCTCAGCCTGCCTCAGCATCAGCCTGCCTCAGCCTCAGCCTCAGCCTCAGCCTCAGCCTCAGCCTCAGCCTGCTTCAGCCTCAGCCTCAGTCTGCCTTCAGCCTCGGCCTCAGCCTCACCTGCCTCAGCCTCAGCCTGCATCAGCCTCAGCCTCAGCCTCAGCCTCAGCCTGCCTCAGCCTCAGCCTCAGCCTGCCTCAGCCTCAGCCTCAGCCTCAGCCTGCCTCAGCCTCAGCCTCAGCCTGCCTCAGCCTTCAGCCTGGCCCATCTGCCTGCTCATGCCCAGGAATGGAGTCCTGGGAACTCGAAGACCACGAAGTGGCCTACAGTTGGCTCCGGGCATTCAAAATGTGGCCCGGGAGTGGAGTTCTGGGAACTCGAAGAACACGAAATGGCCTACAGTTGGCTCCGGGCATTCAAAATGTGGCCCGGGAAGTGGAGTTCTGGGAACTCGAAGAACACGAAGTGGCCTACAGTTGGCCCCGGGCATTCAAAATGTGGCCCGGGAATGGAGTTCTGGGAACTCGAAGAACACGAAGTGGCCTACAGTTGGCTCCGGGCATCCAAAATGTGGCCCGGGAATGGAGTTCTGGGAAGTCGAAGAGCACGAAGTGGCCTACAGTTGGTTCCGGGCATCCAAAATGTGGCCCGGGAATGGAGTTCTGGGAGGTCGAAGAGCACGAAGTGTGTGACTGTTTGCTGAAAACGAGCCCGGTCCTCGCCTGTCCGGCTCCCGCCCAGACCCCCCTGGGGAGTCATCAGATGCTCTGTTTTGACCTCATTAGAAACCTATCAGTCTTCGCTGTTAAGTAAAAAACGGAATTGCAATGCCGCGAGCAGAAGCGATGAGGCAATTAGCCGAGTCTGCTTGACTAATTACCAGTCGTGGTCTCTTGGCATGCTTCTCGGGCGCCTCCTGGAACCAATTTTAAAGCCCCTTGGGGCTTGTTGGGGGCCGCCTGGGGGCCTCTCGGGGTCTCTTCGGATCTCTTGGGGGCCTGCTGGCAGTCTCGGCGGGGCACTTGGGGCGGAGGGCTCTTGTGAGTGAGTTGGGGTCCCCCTCTTGGGTCGTCTTGGGCACCTCTTGGACCCTCTTGGGCTCTCTTGGATTATCTTGAGGTGCTCCTGGGAGGCTCTTAGGCTGTTTTGGGACGACCTCGGGGGCCTCTTGGGCCATCCTGGACGCTCTTAAAACAAAGACATTACTCCGACGGAAGAACCCCACATAAGAATCCTCTGGGCGAATCTGGAAAAAGCCATCACCGTCGTCCTCGTGGTTGGTGAGGCGTCCTGGCTGTCTCTTCTGCGTATATTTCCTCTCGCCTTGGCGCGGGCCCCCCTTCCACTCCTTACGTTGTCCCCATCCTCGCCCCCCTGTTTGTTCCGCGCCCCGCCACCTCCTCCCCTTCCTGTTGCATGAGCGCGCATGTCGATGTTCCTCGGCGCCGTCGCCGCCACGGCCAGCACAGGCGCGTTCTCTACTGGTCACGTCGCGCAGCCGTTGGGACAACCCCGCGGGCCAGGCTGTCGGGACAACCCCGCGAGCCGTTGGCGCGCAAGACCAAGCCGTTGGGACAACCCCGCGGGCTTCGAGCGAGGCGCAGCCGCGCTCAGGCGGAAGGCAGCACGAAGCCCAGCTCTGCCGCGAGCTGCTTCGCCTCCGCCCTGGACAAAACCGCTCTCTTGTCGAACTCCAGGAGCGCCTTCCGCAGGGACGCCGGCGGCCCGCGCTCCAGGAACTCTCGCGGCGGCGGCCGCAGGATCAGCATGTTCCGCATGCACGTGGCGCGGGAGAACATGACGTAGAGGTGCAGCCACCACTGCTCGTCCGACATGCCCGTGCGGCCAGCGTCCTCGTCTCTCGCGCAGTCGATGGTGACGCCCTTGCGCAGCGTCTGGCCCTGCGACAGCGTGGAGGTCAGGTAGGACGCGTGCGTCAGGGTGAACCCCGAGCGGCGCACGCTGTGCGCCCCCGAGCTCTGCCATGTGAACTCCCTTTCGCTGGGCCTGAACATCAGCAAGCTCCGCGCCCGCGCCTCGGCCTGGCCGTCGTCGTCGGCGCCTTCGGCGCCCTGTCGCAGCACCTCGGCGACCTGAGGAGCCCAAAAACTTCCTTGTTGCGTCCAAAATGTGGCCTGGGAGCTGCGTTCTGGCAGCGCGAGAACCCAAAATTGACGACAGTTACAGGTTTTGGATGACCCGCTCGGATTACCAACATGATCTGCGGGCCCCATAGGGAGGGGGCTCCCGCCTGAGACTTCCTCGCAATTCACTCACAGACGAGGCTCCCGCCTGAGACTTCCTCCATATTCAGGCTTGAGGAGCCCAAAAGTGACGACAGTTACAGGGTTCCGATGACCCGCTCGGATTACCAACATGATCTGCGGGCCCCATAGGGAGGGGGCTCCCGCCTGAGACTTCCTCACAATTCACTCACAGACGAGGCTCCCGCCTGAGACTTCCTCCAAATTCAGGCTTGACGAGCCCAAAAGTGACGACAGTTACAGGGTTCCGATGACCCGCTCGGATTACCAACATGATCTGCGGGCCCCATAGGGAGGGGGCTCCCGCCTGAGCCTTCCTCAGAATTCACTCACAGACGAGGCTCCCGCCTGAGACTTCCTCCAAATTCAGGCTTGAGGAGCCCAAAAGTGACGACAGTTACAGGGTTCCGATGACCCGCTCGGATTACCAACATGATCTGCGGGCCCCATAGGGAGGGGCTCCCGCCTGAGACTTCCTCCCAATTCACTCACAGACGAGGCTCCCGCCTGAGACTTCCTCCATTTTCAAGCCTGGGGAGCCCAAAAGTGACGACAGTTACAGGGTTCCGATGACCCGCTCGGATTACCAACATGATCTGCGGGCCCCATAGGGAGGGGGCTCCCGCCTGAGACTTCCTCACAATTTACTCAACGATGATGAGGATGAGGATGATGAGTGGTGGTGAAGATGAGTGGTGAAGAGGATGATGATTGATTGTGAGTGGTGGTGGCGATGATGATGTTTGAATGAGGATGATGCCGATGCCGATGATGATGATGATGATGATGATGTTCGTGAGCGTGCGAGAGAGTGCGAGTGATGATGATGATGAGTATGTGAGTGACTAAGCATGTGAGAGAGCATCATCGATGATGCTGATGAGGTTGATGATGAGAGAGTGTGAGTGAGTGTGAGTGGGTGTGTGTGTGTTCCTGTTCCTGCGCGGGGTGTCCAGAGAAAACAAGAACCCCACTTTGGACGTGGGGAATTACGAACAACAGACCAGGGGGAACAAAAAACATGATGTCCGAAGAGAGTTCGGTAACTTTGGTCATCGAATGCCTCTTGTGGAGCATATCGGAGCCGTATTGGGGCGTCACCTTGGTGGCCTCTTGGGCCGTTTTGAGGCCTTCTTAGTGGCCCCTTTGGAGCGTCCTGGGGGCCTCTTGGAGCGTCTTGGGGCCTCGTAGGTGCATCTTTGGGGCATCTTTGGGATACTCTTGGGGCTTTCTGGAGCTATTCCGGTGCCGTTACGATGCCTCGGAAGGCCAAGAGGGGGGGCGAGTGGCGCATGGACAGTAATCAAAGCTATTCCTAAGGTTCTTGAAAGGCTTTGGCATTTACACTGGGGGGGGCTCCTGGGACGACCTGGACACTCCAATGGGAGAGCCCCCAGGAGCTCCCAAGACTGCTGTGGGAGGAATCCACTGGGAAGCCCTGCGAAGCCCCTGCGACATTCGATGGAAACTCTGGGGAGATCCTGGGAGGCTTCGGAAGCCATCAAGCCATCTCGGGGGCCTCTTGTGCCGTCTTTGGCAGGTCATGGCGGTTTGGGGGGGTCTCTTGGCATCGCTTCAAGTACGCCTACGGCCATCTTCACACATTCGTGGCTGAAGCATCCTTTCCTGGAGGCCGAAAACATGCCCCGCACCCCAGCGGCTGAATGCGATATTAGGGGAGGGAGTTTAGAAAAGTCTGAGGCCCTGGGCCGCTTGCCCCGGGACGCCGATGACATTGCCTGCAGCATCGTCACCATCATCGTCACCACCCTCACCCCCACCCCCATTACCATCACCATCACCATCACCGTCACCATCACAATCACAATCACCGTCACCACCACCACCATCATCAGCATCATCATCAGCATCAGCATCATCATCATCATCATCAGCAGCATCAGCATCATCATCATCATCGTCATCATCATCGTCATCATCATCGTCGTCGTCACCACCATCCTCCTCCTCCTCATCCTCCTGATCATCATCATCCCCACCCTCATCCTCCTCCTCCTCCTCATCATGACCACCATCATCATCAGCATCATGTTCATCATCATCACCATCATCATCATCATCAGCATCACCATCATCAACATCATCATCAACATCAGCATCACCATCATCACCAGCATCATCGTCATTATCACCACTGTCATCAACATCATCATCATCACCCTCATCATCATCACAATCGTCATCATCCTCAACATAATCATCATCATCATCATCATCATCATCATCATCATCATCATCATCATCATCATCATCATCGTCATCATCCTCATCATCATCATCAACATCATCATCATCACCACCATCATCATCATCATCATCATCATCATCATCATCATCATCATCATCATCATCATCATCATCATCATCACTGCCCGCATCGTTCATGTGTTCCCCTCCGTGTGGCCTTGCGCCCATCCTGCCACTGTGCCTGCTGTTAATCAGAAACCTCGTGTATGCCTGTTGGTAGCCTCTGGGCGACCGCATGGAGGCAGTCCTGTAGCCTCTTGGGGGGTGATTCGGGGCCTTTGGGGCTCTGTGTTAGGCATCTTGGGAGCCTCCTCGTGGGTCTTCTTGAAGGTCGTCTCGGGAGCTTCCTGGAGGTTTCGAGGGTCCGCTCGGGGCGGAGGCCTCCAAATGGCATGTCTGTCGGAGTTCTCCTCTGGGGCCGCTCTAGGGGCCTTCTTGGGGCCGTCTTGGGCGGTCTTGGGCGCCTCCTGGGCTCTCTCGGGGCTCTCTTGGGCGCCTCCTGAGGCCCTCTCGGGCTGCCTTGGAGCGGTCCTGTGGGCCTTTTGGGCCAGAGATGGGGTTCGCATCCCGCCCCCTCTCCTACTTCGGCACACCTCTCACACGGAGCGTGGCCCACATGGATCTCTACCTGCGGCCCCAGAGGCAAAGTTCGCACTGCGCCCCCCCCCCTCCGCCCCTGGCCATTGCGGAACACCCCATCACGCGGATCGTGCCCACAAGGAGCACTACCTGAAGGCCCAAAGACAAGGTTCGTACAACGCCCCCCCGCCTATGTCGGCACACCCGTCACACAAATCATGCCCCAGAAGGAGCTTCACCAAATGGGACCAATGGGCAGCTTCGCATGGCGTTCCCCCGTCCATTTCAGAACATCCCTCGCACGGGTCGTGCCAGGAGGAGGTCCACCTGCGGCGTCAAAGGGGCTTTTTCGCGGTGGCATCCAAACTCATTCGGCACACCCTGCACGCGGATCGTGCCTCACAAGGAGTCCAGCGCACCCGTGCACGCGTGCTCCGCAGCAGCCATCTTTCCGCATTGCCCCGCGGCGCGCAGTGTATGAAGAGAGACCCGCGCCCTGAGCGAAGACAATTTGGCCTCCCGCAGGGGCCCTCCCGGGGCGCATCTTGGAGTCTTCGTGGGACGTTTTCGTGGCCTCTTGAGCCGTCTTATTCGCGCGTCTGCGGCCTTGTCAGTCCGCTCTGGTCGCTTCTAGCCTCTGGAGCTGTTTGGGCGGCGGGGAAAAGGCCCAGGAGGCCCGGGAGGCCCCGCACGGGGTCAACAATGACGTGGGCCAGGGGGGGGATCCGGGAGGGTCTGGGCCTTGGCCCCAGGGCCCCTGGTACCCCAGCAAACTGATCCCGCCCAAACTTGCAGCTAGAATAGATTTCCCGCTGTGGTGCTTTCCAACAGATTCCTTATGAGAGGCTTTCCACTAGAATACCTCTGTGGTGCTTTCCACAAGGTTCCGCTTGTGAGGTTTTGCCATGGAATCCCTCTGTGGTGCTCTCCTAAGGCATCCTGGTGAGAGGCTTTCCAATGGTGGAACTTCTTCGTGTGGTTCCTGTTGAGGCTTTCGAATGGAATCCCTTTTTGTGGTGCTTTCCAAAGGGATTCCGATTGTGAGAGAGAGAGAGAGAGAGAGAGAGAGAAAAAAAAAAAAAAGCAGCGAGGACACAGATATGAAGGCAGGAAAGATGATCATGTAGGAGGGGAGGAGGATGAGGAGGATAATGAGAGGAATCAGGATAATGGGGAGGAGACGGAGAATGAGGAGGCGAATGAAGAGAATAAGGAACAAGAGAATGATGAATATTGATGGGAATGATGAGGATGAGGCAAATGAGAAGGAGAATTTAATGAGGAATAATGTGGAAAATGGGGAGGAGGAGGATAATGAGAACGAGGACGGGGAGAAGGATGAGGAGGCGAATGAAGAGGAAGAGGGTACGAGAGGAGGCGAAAGGTATGATAACAGGGGGGCGAGCACATACATCATGGGCCACGGCGTCTGAGGGAACATTTGAAGCTCCCAGAATGGTCTGGCAAATGCGTCAAATGTCTGCCTTTCCAACTCCCGGGGCTGCTGCAGAGGACTCGCGTCCACAGGATGGGACGCACAGAGACATACTGATACTATCTGTCCGCCTTGGAGGCGCGCGTCCGACCCGAACATAGAATATCCATCTTGTAGTATATATTGTTTCCCGAGCGGCATGGCCAGAAAGCGTCCGCCACTAAGATCTCTCCGTGCGCGCGTCGCCCTGGGGGCGGCGACGCACACATAGTATGAGTATGCCTGGGTGTCGCCGACAGGAGGCCTGGAATCAGCAGACCACGACCTGCAAAGCGAGACGGCGAAGACTTCAGCGGAAATGCAGAACGACCGCTTGGTCAAAGTCCGCCTGCAACTCAGCGAGAAATGGATCTGGTGAGTCAGATAAGTACATCTCACGATCTCCGTCTCTCGACAACGGCGTTGATACCCTATGAAGCATTGGCCTGGGCAGTCTCGCAACAGATGCCCAAAGTTCAGGGTCAGGGGGGTCCTCGCAGACGGCGGCAGTGCTTGTGCGACTTCCTGCACTTGACCAGACATTTGCAATGAGATTCCTTGGAAGCTGGCGTGCTAAAGCCACTCTTAACGCGTCGAGAGAAGTACGTGCATTTGAACTGGAACTCGAATCTGATTCGGATTCATCATCGGATATCACTGTGGCATCACCAGGAGCACCATCGATTCCATTTGATTCAACGGACACTACTCTCGTTTGTCATTCTGGACACCACGTTGTCCACTGTGCCATATCCTTCGGCACTCCAAGCTTCTGCGCGCACAAAAACACCTTGCTCTACTTGCAAATGCCCTTGGCCCCTACGAAAGGAATGAATCGATGCTTGGGGCGTCTCGCTTACGGTACCAACATCATATTCGTGATATCCGACCCGTGCCGATGGGTCATCACCAGCCGGAGCCTCTGCGTTTGATGCGGTATCGGAGACGCGCTCGGGGGATGTTTGCCCGCTTTGGGGCCATCTGAGGTGCATCCTGGATTGCTGGGAATCCGCCTGGAGCCAAAATCCTGTCAGAGGGGGCGGGGGGAAAGGGTGGAGAGGGGAAGGAAAGGTCGGGGAGAAGGGGGCGGAGAGAGTCGCGCACGAGGTCCCCAGTGCGCCGTCCTGGCCTTCGCAGCCTCCAAGTCCAGTCACCGTGGCCTCCAAGATGCCCAGCAAGTCATCTAAGGTGGCTCAAGAGAAGGGCTCCAACGCTCCCGGAGAGGCCTCAAGAACAACCAAGATGGCCTCAGGACTGCGCAAGGTCTGGAAGGCGCCCACAAAGGGTTCGAAAGGACTCATAAGACGGCCTCGAAGTCTCAGACAGCCACATGACGTTCGCGGTCTCACCCTTTCCCCTAGACGTTCCAAGAAGGCCTCCAAGTCTCAGACAGGCCCAAGACAGCCGAAGGGGCCCTGAAGAGTCTCCAGAGATGGCACAGGAAGGTCCCAACACAGCCAAAGCTGTCCCCAAGTCGGCCACTAAGGCCCGCAAGAAGGCCAAGAGGAGGGTCTCCCAGGGGCCCCGGAAGCCCGCCCTCACAAGATGGCTCCTGCGAAGCCCAGCACGCCCCCAATCCACAACCGTGCCCTATGCACGCTCAGGCGTTGAAGAATGCCAAGGGCTGCCTAGCGGGGCTCCTGTAATCTAGCCAGGGACCCCCCCCCCCTCCCGCGAACCCTTGCCTGCATGACCCCCCCCTTCTCGAAGCCACGATACCTTGCAGAACACGGTGGACCCGCGCTACCGAGGCCGCGATCCGTTGTAAAACACAGAAGATCCGCGTCCCGAGCTTCCAAGACGGCCCATGCAGGCAACCAAAGACAAAGATGGCCCAAGATGCCTCGAAGACGGCCCAAGGCGGCCCCCATCTCTTTCTTTCGGGGGGGGGGCGGCGGAATGGCGCAAACCACTTAAATCCCACAAGCAATCTGGGCGTGGGTGGCTTGAAAAACTGTTTGTTCCAACTCCCTGTTGTTTTTTTCCGGGGGGGCCCACACCTCTGGTAAGACAGGAAGGTACACGCACCGCTACTCCACGGCCCTCTCTCGAGGGACGTTCTGGGCAAGACTCAGCGGCGAAGCGAGCGGTTGCGTCCGGATTCCACGAAGAGGCAGCGGCATTGGGACATTTCCCCCCGCTGAGGATTTCTGTTGGTTTGCATCCCCCCGCCCCCAGTCCAGAGGAGATATTCGGAGCCTCCCGAATGAGAGGGTGACCAGCCCACGCCATCTGCAGCGCTCGGTGTCGCCTGCAGCGGAGGCGGGTCCGCGCCTCGAACAGCTCGTCGGGCGCGGCTAAACTACCCACTCGTTTCTGGGAGTGGGTGTGCACACAAGCTTCGCACACCGATGCACAGCACAAAACGGCAGCAGGTATCGGCAACTGCTTCAAAAGGAGGAGGAGGGCGAAAACAATATGTCGGCACAATCCACAATCGGACCAATCCATGTCATCAGAAGTCCTTGTACATATGGGCATTCGGCATGGTGTTTCAAGTCATCGAGGTCAATGTCAGGAGCACATGCAATGACGCACCCTCGGGAGATAATACGGAACTGCGCAGCGGTACGTATCCCCCGGCAAGCAACACGTAACGGAGCCCAACCAATATACATGTTGGTGCGTTTCACCGTCTACCTGATTTTACCGATCATTTGAGCAACCTCAAGGGGGCTAGGAACAGGGAGCTACATCGAGACCGTTTGCAAGAGGCCAGCTCGGGGCACTCCTCAAGGTCCACGGGGGCGAGCGCCGCAAAGAACCTTCTCTGGAGTTTCCTCTTCGGGAAATTGTCGGGCACCGACGATGCACTGGCGACGCGTTCCTGTCAGAGGCTGCACAGTTGAAAAGGAAACGAACCCCTCCACCATCCATGCATAGCACGAGCAACGCACACCTCATCGCCAATCCCCGCCGTCATCCTCCCCACGGGAATGGCAGCCTCCAGCCGAGCCTTGGTCGTGCTAGAATGTCGGACACGCGACTGCGGCCCGCGACTGCACTGCTCGCCAGCGCGGCGCAAGCGCGGGAAACTCGGCGGGGGGGGCCCAGGGCGTTGAGACCGCAAAGCATGTTCTTCGAACAAATACCTCGGAGCAGCTGCGAGCGGCTGGAAGCTTGCGTCAAAAGCCTTGTGAACCTCACGCGTCGGAGACTAGCACTGCGTGGCGCGCAGAAGCACAGACAGGCACGCGGAGGAGAGCATGCCCATAGTCATGGCAAGCCCGAGACCCACGTTGCGCAGAGTACGAACCCTTTGTTTCAACTTGCCCAAAGCCTCAAACAACGCGAACTTGCGCCCCTCAAAACCGATCTCACCCCCAAGATACTTAGCATGATGGACCACCTGTAGTAGCCGGCATTGCCCCCCAAGAGTCCGAAGCCACTCAACAAGAACGGCGCAATGAGCACCGCCCGTCAAAACCAACTGGCACCTCGCGAGGTTTAGCCGAAGACCCGCGCTAGTGTCGAGAAACCCGAACAGACCCATGATCGGCGACAAGCTCGCGCATATCTCACGGATCCCAGAGCGGAGGTCGTCGGCATATCCGAGCCCAAGGTCGATGAGCGAACTCGCTCGTCGCAGGATCCAGCGTGGAACCGAGTCGAGCGCAAGCGAAACAGGGCGCATACTGGCGAGGCCCCCCTGTCGCACTCCTCGCTGAATGGCAGGGCGCTGCAGCCGGCGACCCGCCAACACCGCGGCTGCGACGCTGCCCGCGTGCAGAGCAACGAAGAAACAGATGGTAGGAGCGGGAGTGGCCACCGCACTGGGCACCATGAGAGTCCAATCGATGATGAACGATGGAAGGGCAGCAGCAAAGCCCGCGAGAGGCACAGCAGAATGTGGCCCGCCGCGCAGCCACTGCTGAAGTCCCCATTCCTCCGCCTCAACCACATTAGAAGCGATGCTCTTCCCCCCCACTCCTCTGGACTGAATGCCGCCCGCCGTGGCCTGCGCAATCCTAGCGAATGGAGCCCCTATCCCCATCGACAAAGCCATGCACGATGCATCCGCGAGCGCCAGCGGCCGCGTCTTGCACGCAGCACGAAAAGCTGCATCGCCCACATCCGTCGGGTTGTCGGCGGCGAGGAACAACACCGCCTTCAGGAAAAAGGGAGGACATCTCGAGCGGGAGCGTTGTTCTTGCTGGGAGCGGCGCCAATTCAAAAGAGAGTAGGGCGCCAGTCCAACGTAAAACGAAAGGAAGTCTCGGGCGGGAGCGCTGGTTTTGTCGGGGCGGCGGTTTTCGGCGGCGAGGAGGAACACCGCCTTGAGTAAAAAAGGGAGGAAGCCTCGAGCGGGAGCGTTGTTTTTGCTGGGGGCGGCGCCGATGAGAGAAAGACTAGCGCGCCAGTCCAAGGTAATTCGGGAGGAGGTCTCGACAGGGAGCGCTGGCTTTGTTAGGACGGCGGCTTTCGGCGGCGAGTAAGAACACCAGCCCTGAGCAAAAAAGGAGGAAGTCTCGAGCGGGAGCGTTGCTGTTCTTGGGGGGCCGGTTTTGGCGATCCCCCAAATCGCTCGAGCGTGAGCCTCATTTTCGGTGAAAATGTAGCCGGCGCCTCGGCGAGAGCGCCAGAGCACCATTAAGGTGTCCAACAATAATAACTGTTAAGTAAGTAACACTCAACAGCAATAATCAGTTTAAGACTGTTCGTTTTTATCTGCTCGAGTGTCCGTTAACGCGTATCTACCAAACCCTCGATACCCGCCCTCTTCGTCGTCGATCGTGCCCCATTTGGGGGGATACTTTTCTTCACTGCAGGCCGGGCCCCGGCCAGCGGCGGGGCGGCCGCGGACCGTCGGCCTGGCCAGCGGCAGCGCTGATCGGCGGCAACCCGACCCCAAAAGGGACGGACAGGGGACCGACCACGACGACGACGAAAACGGCGACGACGCCGACGACGACGACGACGACGACGAGAGAAAGCAAGAGCGAGAGAGAGAGAGAGAGAAAACGACAGCAGGGCCACGAAGGGCACGAAGGAGGCCACGAAGGGCGACAGCGGGGACACGAAGGGAATGAGTATGGGGTCACGAAGAGCGCGAACGAGCGGGGGCCACGAAGGGCAGATAATGCGGGGCCACAGAAGGCAACGACGGAACCACTGAGGGTAGCAACTGGGCTGCGTAGGACAGCCAGTGGGCCAGCGGGGCCACGGAGGGCATGCACATGGGGCCACGACGGGCGCGAACGAGCGGGGGCCACGAAGGGCATACGTACATTGGGCCCCGGATGGCAAGGACGGGGCCGCTGAGGGCAGCAACGGAGCCACGAAAGGCAGCGAGGGGGCCACGAAGGCCGACAGCAGGGCCACGAAGGGCATGCATAGGGGGCCACGACGGGCGCGAACGAGCGGGGGCCACGAAGGGCACCCATATATGGGACCACGAAGGGCAGCGAGGGGGCCACGAGGGGCTGCAAAGGGGCCACGAAGGGCAGCGAGGGGGCCACGAAGGGCTGCAACGGGGCCACGACGGACAGCGAGGGGGCCACGAGGGGCTGCTACGGGGCCACAAAGGGCAGCGAGGGGGCCACACATGGCAGCGAGGGAGGCACGAAGGGCAGCGAACGGGGCCACGAAGGGGTGCAACGGGGCCACGAAGCGCAGCGAGGGGGCCACGAAGGGCTGCAAAGGGGCCACGAAGGGCAGCGAGGGGGCCACGAAGGGCTGCAACGGGGCCACGAAGGGCAGCGAGGGGGCCACGAAATGCGACAGCGGGGCCACGAAGGGCATGCATATGGGGCCACGAAGGGCAGCGAGGGGGCCACGAAGGGCAGCGAAAGGGGCCGCGAAGTTCTGCAACGGGGCCACGAAGGGCAGCGAGGGGGCCACGAAGGGGTGCAACGGGGCCACGAAGGGCAGCGAGGGGGCCACGAAGGGAAGCAACGGGGCCACGAAACAAAGCGAGGGGGCCACGAAGGGGTTCAACAGGGCCACGAAGGGCAGCGAGGGGGCCACGAAGGGCTGCAAAGGGGCCACGAAGGGCAGCGAGGGGGCCGCGAGGGGCTGCAACGGGTCCACGAAGGGCAGCGGGGGGGCCACGAAGCGCTGCAACGGGACCACGAAGGGCAGCGAGATCCCGATTCCTAAATAATATGTGAGGGAGTCCAAAGCGTGAGCGCGACTCCTGGGTGCCTGAGTGTCGGGAGCGCGGCGCTTGAGTAAATTTAAAAAATTCAAGCGTGTTCTTGATCAAATTGCAAGCAAGTCTCCAGCAAGAGTACGATTCCAAAGCGCCGAGAGAGCGACTCCGGAATAAATCTTGAGGAAGTCCCAAGCGAGAGCGCGATTCCGGAATAAAATGCGAGGAAGTCTCGGGCGGGAGCGGGGGTCCTGGCTAAATTGCGAGGAGGTCTCAGGCGGAAACCGTTGCTCTAACCCAGGGGCCAACAGCACAATTTAAAGAAGAAAGCTTTCCCTGATAAAAAACAGGGTACGAGCGCCGGGGGGGAAACTTCAATGGAAAAAACAATGTGCAACAGAGGGGGGAGTCATCAACAAATTATTCTCCACGGGTGAGAAGCCAACAACAACAACAACAACAACAACAGCGACAACAATAACGATAACAATAACAACGACAACAACAACAACAAGCCCAGAGAGGCAAACATCAATGGTGTTCCTTTGGTGTTTCGTTGTTTCTAAGGCGATCATCTTCAAAAGCTTCTCACGCTCCAAGAAGGGCCAAGAGGCCCCGTAGACCGCCCCAAAACTGCCCAAGAGGCCCGATACGAAGGCCCCAGGACGGCCCAAGAGGGCTCCAAGACTGCTTAAAGATGGGACCAAGACGGCCAAAGATCGCAGTGAGATGGCCCCAAGAGACGCAACGAAGGATACTGCGAACCGAACATCAAATCTTCGCCCTCAAGAAGCCCCCGAAAGACCCCAACAAGCCCCCAAGCGGCCCAAAGGAGACCCTCAATACGCCCGACCCGCAAGAGGCCCAAGAAAAACCTCCAAACAGGCCCCAAGCCACTTCAAACTGCCTCCAAGAGGTTCTGCCAGGCCCCCAAGCAGCACCCAGGACGCACAAATGAGTCCCTAGATATGCCCAAGAAAGCCCACGACGCCTCAACAGTGGACTCCCCGCCTCTTCTGGGGGTCGGCGGTATGGCGTAAGCCTTTTGAATACAAATGCATATATATATATATATATATATATATATATATATATATATATATATATATGTATATATATATATATAATATATATATATATATATATATATATTATGTATGTACACTGTATAACGAATTTACTAAATCATGAATTGGTAAACGAACATACGAATATGTATATATATATATATGTGTATATACATATTTATATATATACATTTATATATATACATATATATATATAAATATGGAGAGATCTAAACAAAAAAACACTATAAAACCATGAATGGGAAATGGACGACACACATGTAAAACAAATTTGTGAGTACATAGAAAATAGGATAGGCAGGGGCCGAATGGTCATTCACTGTCCCTGGGTGCGTGGTTGAAATTCCGCGATGCGGATTTTTGTTGTTCCTGTTGTTCGTTTATTGTTGCCATTTGGCGTCGTCCCATTCGCGACCCGCCCCGCGACCCACCCGCGACCCACCCCGCGATCCGCCCGCGACCGACCCGCGACCCACCCGCGACCCACCCTCGACCCACCCGCGACCCACCTGCGACCCACCCGCGACCCAACCGCGGCCCGACCCGCCCCGCGACCCACCCGCGACCCACCCGCGACCCACCTGCGACCCACCCGCGACCCACCCCGCCACTCACCCAAAATGCTTGAACGAAAAATCGGCGCCTGCGGCGAGCTGGTTATCAATTTGTCAGAGTGAGGGGGCCGAACGGTCATTCACTGTCCCTGGGTGCGTGGCTGAAGTGGAAGTCCGCGGTGCGGATTATCGTTGTTGTTGTTGTTGTTGTTGTTTGTTGTTGTTGCTGTTTGTTGTTGTTGTTGTTGTTTGTTATTGTTGTTTGTTGTCGTCGTCCCACCCGCAACCCGCCCCGCGACCCACCCCGCGACCCACCGCGACCACCGCGACCGCGACCACCCGCGGACCCACCCGCGACCCCACCACGCGACCCACCCCGCGCCCGCGACCCACCCCGCGACCCACTCCGCGACCCCGCGACCCACCCCGCGACCCACCCCGCGACCCACCCGCGACCCACCCGTGACCCACCCGCGACCTACCCCGCGACCCACCCGCGACCCACCTTCGACCCAAACCACGTTCAAGGTACAAACCGCAATTTTCGGCGCCTGCGGCGGGTTTTTTTTTGTTCCTTCCAAGTGGAGAGCCCGCGACCGACCCCGTGACCAACTCGCGACCAACCCGCGACCCAGCCAACGTTCAGGGTACAAACTATCGCGAGACGAACAGCTCGCAGGCACGCCCCGCAGCCCTCGCTGCCGAGGCCGAGCCTGCTCCCCGCAGGCCTGGCCAACAGCCCGCGCCACGGGGCGCGGCTCGTAAACCCCCGCGCAGGCGCGCGGAGGCGGGAGCAGACCGCGGCGAACCGGTCCGCTCCGCTACCATCAACTGGCGGGCTGCCGCCCGCTCGTATATGAGAACATTTTGCCCGTGTGCTCCAGAGCTCTTCGAGTCGAAACGTCAGCGGCGAGACAGATGACGGCAGCAGCAGTAACGAAACGTGGCGACAGCGTCGCCTAACCCAGCCCCTTCGGGATCAACAGAGTAGGACGAGGAGGGCTCCCGAGGCCCTCCGCCACAGAGCGCCGCCCCTGCATCGTGCCGGTTCGCGAAGCTGCCGCGGAGGCCCTGGCCCTCTTGGCCCTCTCGGACCCCCTCGGCCGCCGGCCTCGTCCAGCACTCAGCGCGCACAGGTCTCGCCGCTACGGAGGCCCAGATCGCGCTCGAATCGCGTGCCGCAGAACGCCGCCACGACCTCGGGCCAGTTCGCGAAGCTGTCGCGGAGCTCCTTCTTGGCACTGTTGACCGTCGCATGTCCCTTCTGCGTAAACGGGGAGACGCCGAGAAACCGCGTGATGCGGGCGACCAGGCGTGGCTCGTCGGCCATCAGCTCCTCGTAGCTAGCGTGCATCATCGGGTAGCCCTGGCTCTCCAGGTCCTGGAGGCTCTTGTTCCGCGCGAGCTCCTGGGGCAACCTTCCCGTTGACAAATCTCTTCAGAGTGACGATCGATATGTTTCTGCGGGCGTGCACCCTATCATTGCACGCCTTGTTTAGCTGGACATGACCCCCGTTGCACTCAACTAGCTAGTTTTTGTGTAGCTTGCTCAGCCCCCAGGCGATGGCGTTCAGCTGGGTGATGTGGATGAACCGCATATTGGGCGGGATCTGCCCGTTGCAACACCGGCCGAAAGGGTTGATGATTTGCGTCTTGGTCCCTGCCGCGAGATACTGGCTGGGCAACCCCGCGCCCGTGCCCAGCATGTCGAGAAAGCACTGGGCATGAGGCTCGCCAACCCAGGTCAGCTCCGGATGCTTTTTGAAAACGTCGTGTCCCAGGTGCTGCGTCCCTGTCTGGCCACCGAACATGATGACCAGCTACACGCAAGAGTGACCCTGGGAAAGAGTGGCCTGTGGTGCGCGGGCAAGCCATCCAAGCGCGACAACCAGTGCTGGCGGGACCCCTGAGGGCCCGCACTAAAGGCCACTCCAGCGATGGGCCACCCTTACGGGCAGCTGAGATGATGAAGGGCGTGAAATTTTTCGCGCAGCCTCCGCGCTCCCCGGCGCCGCGCTGCCGCCACTCCTCGGTGTGCATGGCGGCCGCCTTCCCTGAGCACGAGGGCGGCGCCCGGAATCCCCCCTGCTTCTCCGCCGCCCGCCGCGTCGCCTCTTAGCGCGCGGGAATTTGCCATCCCTGGGACGTCCAATTCCCAGTGCACTCTTCGGCTTCGTGCGCGTATCTCATCGCAAGATGACCCAAAAGGCTCCTCGATGGTCCTCGCCGAAAACACATGTTCATGCTTGTACAGCTACGGGGAGGGGCCAGCCACAAGAGGGGGTCGGGCGGAGGCCTCCGACAGGAGTGCCGAATGAAAGAGCGAACCATTTTCCACACCAGTGGGCGACCTCGCCCGAAGATCTTGCAAACACGAATCTCGAGAGATGCAAGGCGCGCGCCGACTCGGGCCGATGCTCGAGCAGGCCCGCAATCTACATCACGGGGCACGCCCAGAACTAAAGTTAATCGTGATTACCCTTCACAAGGGCAAGGGGGGCGGGACCGAAAAAGCTATGAGCACATGCAAAGATAAGGAGAGTACAGACGGCCCACGACCCCGCACACTGAGACATAAAAAATTGTTGAAAACAGTTATTTATGTTTGTACAGCTACGGGGAGGGGCCAACCACAAGAGGGGGTCGGGCGGAGGCCTCCGACAGGAGTGCCGAATGAAAGAGCGAGCCATTTTCCACACCAGTGGGCGACCTCGCCCGAAGATCTTGCAAACACGAATCTCGAGAGATGCAAGGCGCGCGCCGACTCGGGCCGATGCTCGAGCAGGCCCGCAATCTACATCACGGGGCACGCCCAGAACTAAAGTTAATCGTGATTACCCGTCCACGCCGCAACGCAAGCATCTGGCCCGACGGGCCCTCAGCCTGCTTCCAAAATCAGCAAACCAATAGGGAGGGGGGGAGGGAAACAAGGATACAACTTAAAAGACCCAGACTGACCCCCTTATGGCTAGCCCACAAGTTCCCCCATTACTGACTGTGAGAGCGAGGCGGAGTAAGGAGACAGGAGTGGCGCCAACGCTTAGGTCCTGCGTCGAGCGCGTGCACGATGAGCGCTGGACGGCTTGCCCACTGGCTCAGACCTGCTCGACTGGCCCTCGTCGAAAACCTGCACCTCATCGTCTCTGACCCGCGCGAGCTTCGCCACCAGTAGCCTCGCCAGCGGGGTGTCGGACACGGGTGAGTTCATGATTGCCTCCTTCAGCTGCTTGGCCGGCTGACGCCAAAAGCTGCGGCCCGTCTCCATCGTCGTCGATGGCAATTGTGAACGGCGTCTGATGAGAGTGTGGACCTTGGTGTACCGGCTCAGCGCTGATGGGGTCTTCCAACGCCCGCGCCTGCGGGCGTCCTCCAGTCCTCCGCCAGCCGCGACGAAGTCGGCCGCCGCGGCGTGGCGGATGCCATGCGGAGGCCCCATGTGCTCCAAACCCAGCTCGCCCAGCAGCTTGGCCCACGAACGCCTGAAACTGCCCTGGCTCACGGGTAGCACGAGCTCTTGGTCCGAGATGACCGAGACGAGAACCTCCATGATGGCCTTGGCAACCTTCATCTTGAGCTCGACACCCTGGTCGGAACCGGTCTTCACTTTCTCGCCGCGCTCTCGCCTTCCAAGGAGTAGTGCGACCCGCCCGTCCCTGTCGATGCTCACGTCGTTCTTCCGCAGCTGGCACCAGTCTTGCTCCCTCAACCACCCGTCCAGCTGCACGAGCGCGGCCGCGCCCTCAATGATCATGCCGCGCTCGAAGAACGCCTTGATGATGGTCCCCATCGCCTCCATTGGGATAGGCTCGCCCTCCCCGCCGAAGCCCATGCGCTCCCAGCTCTTGAGTGCGCGGGCTGCGACTGGGGGGAAGTTCCTGTGGTCCTCGAAGATGCGCACGAACCCGTTGAAAAGGTAGCTCGCTTTCATGAAGCTGGCCTGCTGCACATAGCACATGTCGGCGATGTAGTCCGCCAACGCCCTGTCGCGCTCCGCCACCGTGCTGAACGGCTGGCCGGAGCGTTTCACCTCCACTAAGAAGTCCTTGACGGCTCGCTGGTACTGGATGTTGGTGTTGTCGTCGACAGCGTGGATCACCAGCCTGTTGTTGTACTTCAGCGGGCCCTCGGCGGCCCTCTCCCAGGCAAGAGCTCCTCTCTGCTTGAGCGGGGGTGGCTTCGGCCCACGCGGGGCCGCCGCCGCCCGCTGCGTCGAGACGAAGAGAATCACCAATGGGAGTGTCCAGCGGTTCCTCGCCGTCGCAGCCCCCGAAGCCAGTGGAGAAGCCGCTTGGGTGTGTACCTCGTGCTGTGGCCCGCCTTCGTCTCCTCCGCCGCTCCCAGGTCGACCTGTCGAGACGGTCCGTCGGCGACGTTGACCTCGGAGGGTACCCAACGGTAGTAAGGACGCAGTCGGCACACCAGCTGTACCACTCCCGCCATTCTCGCCAGATGTAGTAGGGCCCGTGCCGAGCTTCTCCCCTTGGTCAGCACCCCGAGGCTCACCAACGAGTCCGTCATGATGAGTGCTCCAGATCTCCAGGCCCTCGAAGTCCTCGACGGGTGTCGTAGCAGCCCCACTATCGTCCTCAGCTCCAACACATTGTTGTGCTCCTCCCTCTGCCAGCGCCCCTGGAACAAGACCCTCCACCTCTGCTCGTCGAGCCAGCTCTCCTGGTGGAAGATGTTGCGCTCGGGCCCTCGCGACTCGAGGCAGTCCATGACGCCGTCTCACCTGCGCGCCGTCCGGGACCCTCTCCCAAGGGGGCTCGACGCTCCTCGCAACCTGAGCGCAGGCCTCGCAGAAGAGGACGGGGCACGGGCAGGCGATCTTCGTCCACTTGGTGCCGCCCGGGCCGCTGCCCCGCAACTCGCGATGCACCAGCCCTGTCCTCGAGCAGCGTCCACGCGTACCCTGGCATCGACGCTCCATCACGCAGAGGGCCCTGCAGTTGGTGACCAGGGTGGTCGGCTTCTTCCACTCCTCCCCGTACTGGCAGTAGTCCAGGCTGATCCTGATGACCTCGGACCTCGCGAGCAGCTCGAGCATGGGTGGGAAGACCCACATCAGGCTGGACTCGGGGTTCTCGATCACGAAGTAGATCCCCTCCCTGATGCAGAAGAGCGCCGCCTGCACCGCCAGCACACACAGCGTAGATCCCTCCTGCGCCTTCTCCGCGTCGCCGGGACTCAGACCTGGCAGTCCCCAGGGACAGTCGAGCGATCTCAGGGGAGGTCGCCTCGCCCGCGAGAAGGTAGAACAGGGAGGGGCCATGTGTATCCACCACCACCACCGCCATCGTAGCCGTCGGAAGAGACGTTCGATGTTGGAAACATTGAGGAGATCGTACTCGCGGCCACGGGCCACATCCCATGCCTCTCCCCACGAGAGAGTCCGACCGAGGATCGCCTGTAGGAGCCTCTCGCTGCCCGGGAACAGCTCCAGAAAGCCCGGTCTCCCCATCTCTGGTGACATTGGCGCGTCGTCCTCGTCGCCCTCGGCCTCGACCTCCTGCCCCACCTCCGCGTGCGCTCGCGCCGCCTGAATCGTCCATGACTGCAGCGACCCTCGACTGAGCTCTGTCCTGATCTCCTCCGCGTCGGCCTTCGCCACAACCGCTGCGAAACCCTCCTCCGACGCATCCGTCATGTAGACCCTCTCCAGCCAGGGTGCCTCCAGGTCCGCCTCCATAAAGACGTGCAGCGCCGAGAGCGCCTGCAGCTCGCTCAGTACCTGGATGTCCAGCTTCTGCCATCTCATCGCATCCTCCTCGCAGAACCCGCGCATCCAGCGGTAGGCGGCATCCAGGATGCAGAAGGCCGCCCTGTTGGTCATGATCGCCCACGTCCACAGACCCAGCAAACTGCTGAGAGCAGCCGGGGGTGCACGACCCATGATGACCACCGCTTCGGTCGCCAGCGCCATGTCTCTCATCTTGTCCTGGACGACGCGTAGCCTGTATGGCCTTGGGCCAATGGCCAGCCCCAGACCCCTCGTCAGGCCCTCCCCCCAGTCCTCCTTGTGCGCTGGGAGGCCCTGACCCACGAGGTGTGCCTTCACCTTCTCCCTGTCCAGCTCCAGCTCCTCCCCGTTCTCCGAACACAGCTTCAGCCCGATGTAGTCGACGATGTACAACAATAGCATCAGCTGCACCTTCTCGAAGGACGGGGTCGGCCTCCCATATGTGATCTGCCCGAGGTTGATGTCGGGCAAGCTCTCCAGGGCGCCCGACAGGCAGCTGTGGGCCAAGAAGACGGCCCAGCTGGACCCCATGACGGGGGACATGGCTCCAAGTCCAATATCGTCGTGCTCGGGCTTCGGTATAGAGATCCCCTGCTTGCACGCGTAGTCGTAGATCTGCTGCGGGGTCACCTCTGGCAGCGCAAAGTACTCCGCCAGGGAAGCCGGCCATCGTAGCCGGTAGAACCAGTCGGGAATATCGCCCTGGAAGGAGTATAGCCGTCGCCCATGTAGGATTGACTCGTCCAGCTCCAACAGCGCCAGGGACGCGGGGGACCCCAGTGGCACCCACGGCGGGTCCTGGAACAGGAGGTTGACCCGCCTGCAGTCCCAGACCAGGCGGCTCTTCTCCACCTCCGTCCCCGACTCGCTCAGGTTCTTGACCACGGTGAACACGCCAACCCTCTCGCGCATGCTCTTCACGTAGCCTATCATCCCCGAGCGAAGCATTCGGAGGGCGAGCTCGAGTCGGTTGCTGCCCCGTCTCCAGCCCGGGTCGGTGTAGCTGCGCGTGTTCTCGTAGCGGTCCCAGTCGACCTGGCCCACCCCCTTGATCATCTCGCTGCCCACATTGCTGAGGTAGGCCCCCGCCGTCTCCGAAAGCCTCTCGATGTTCAGGCCCTTCGCATTCGGCGGCGGCGCCGAGACCTCCGAGGCCACCAGCGGGCACATGTCCCCCTTGCTCAGGTGCTTCCTCGTCGTCCTCGATCTCGTCCTTGTACGTGTACTCTGATAGTCCAGCGCTCCTTCCCCCCCCAGACGGCTGATCACCGCCCTGCCGTCGTTGATGGTACCCCAGCACTCGGACTGAGCGTGCCTGTCCCAAAGATCGTTGACGATGGCCGTCTGTAATGGGGTCGCAGTCCTCCACTCCCGCCAATCCCTCCGCCGCCTCAAGATCAGGGTCTCCTGACCCAGATGCCCCGCCGCCAGACCCCGAATGGCCGCCGATGCCCTTTGGACTCGAGCGAGTGTCAGCTGCAGCTGCCTCTCGTCCAAGCCCTGGGAAGTAAGCCGGGCAGAAAGCGGGTGCGGCAGGATGGGAAGCGTTCGCAGCGGGTCCCGCTCCCTCTCGTCCACCATCATAAGGGACAGGGCCCACCAGGTGACCTGCACCCCGACGCGAGAAAAAGGTGTCGTTGAAGTAGAGGTCGGACTCGGAGACGCCCTCGTCCGACCTGAAGAAGTTGGCCGCGCCCGAGAAGCCGTGCAGCCAAGGGGGGCGCGACCAGGCACCAGCCCGCCACCTCGAAGGCCCGCGAGCTCCCAGGCGTCTGCAGGGCGCCGAGGCACCACAGCAGCACCCGAATCCACCTCGAGTGTGGCCTTACGCTTTGAGCGTGCGCTTGGCCAGGACGTGCCACGGGAGCCCCGGCCGCAACCTATTCGTGATCTGCACCCACCGCGCCGCTGTCCTTGGCGCCCTGCAGGTGCTTCGCGATGGTTGCCCTCCTCTTCAACTTCTCCGTCACCTCGTCGTCGGCCTTCAGGTTCGCAAGCTCCGTGTCGCCGTCCACCTTGAGGTACTCGTCGGCCAAGGCCCAGTCGACCTTGGAGCGCCACTTGCTCCCGCTCTGCTGCCCCTTCGGTCGCTGCCAGTCGCTGAGGCACTTCACATTCTCATAGGCCTTCCAGATCGCGTAGAGACGGAGGCAAGTGAGCTCCGCCGCGGGGCTGTTGATGAGCTGGTCGTAGGCGCCCTCCGCCATCATGCGGTCCAGCACCATGGCCAACATCATCACCTCCGAGCTGATGCTCGCCCGCTGCAGCTCCTTCGACCTCAACCACTCGCCCAGCTCGATCTTGGCCGTGCGTCCCGAACGGTACAGCTTGTGCAGCACTGTCGGCGCGACCCTCGTCTTCACGCCGCCCACAGGCGTCATGCGCACATGCTTGAACTTCTCGAGGGTGGCCAGCAAGCCGTCGCGCGGGTTGCGGCTCTCCTCCTTCAGCAGCTGGATACGATCCTGCAGCTCTTCGTCGACGCGCCCGACCTGCTCCCAGGAGCCCGCGCTGTCGAGTGACTTCGCCGGGGACCCAGTGTCAGCAGTCGCCCGTGTAGAATCCGTCTGTACCGTATCCACGTGCTCGTTCAGCTTCGAGATGAAGTCGTCGATCTGGGATGTGGTCGGCTGCCCCTCGCCCTCGCTCACTGACTGCCCCTCAGGGCTGGAGGGCCCTGGGTCCGACGTGCGGTCTGAGCCACTAGAACGTGGAGGCGAGGCCCTGGCCCCGAAAGACTGTGTCGCAACTGCCCCCGTCAGGTCTGTCATCGCCCTCTGCAGTGCCTGCTGCTGATTGGCCAACTCCGCGAAGAGGCGTCGCGGGGACGGCTCGTCGTCGGAGTCGGCGACCTGCGTCCCCAGGACCCTGTCATCCTCGTCGTCACTGATCGTGGAGCCCCTGTCCGAGTCGGAGTCGCCCGAGTCGCCGTAGTACCATGCCCAGAGAAGGTACCCCGTCACCAGCGTCCCGCCGATGGCCACGAGGACATACTCGAGGTCCCCGCTCTCGTAGTAATCGTAGATGGTGTCATACACGTGCTGGACGTCCTCGACGGTCTCGTAGACGGCTCGGGCCCCATCATAGGCAGCTCGGAAGATCGAGCCCAGGCGGAAGAAGCGCCATGCACGCCAGCACAGGAAGGATATCGCGCTCCACGAACCCCAGCTCCGCTTGGCCCACAGCGCCGTGAAGAGGTTCCCCACGCCGCCCGTGAGCCACGCGACAAAGCCACCCTTCGCGCTCTTCTTCTTCGACTTCGGCGGGGGCTTGCTCACCTTCAGCTTCCCGTTCTCGGAGTCGACCTCGAGCCTGGCGATCGCCCTCTCCGCCGCGGTGATGACCGCGTCGCGGGCCCGAGCGGAGACGCCAGGGTGCTCTGTCCACTCCACGTTCGCCGTCGGCTTCGTCAGCACCCGCTTCTTGTCCCTCACGTCAATCATCACGATGCGATGGGTGGGGTCCGCTGCTGCCCACAGGCCGGGATGCTTCGACCCCGCCTTCGTCACCAGCAGCATCACCACCCCCTGCGGCTTGGTGGGGCTCTTCACGTAGATCCTGTTCCATCGCGCCCACGGCGCCATCGTCCACCTGGTGGTGGCCGTGCCCTCGATCACCTCCTCCCCGTGGGCCTCTTCCGCGGCGCTGCCGAAGCCGCGCTCGAGGACTCCGCTCTCGGGGATCAGGTAGTGCAGCTCCTGCACCACCAGGAAGAGCAGCACGGCGAGCACCCTGCGCGCCGTGATGACAGCCCCCGAGCGCCCCGCGGCGGGGGCACGGAAGCAGGCTGGTGCCTCGGTCCTGCGGGCGACGGGCTCGCTGGAGCCCAAACCTGCTCGGACCGAAAAAGCTATGAGCACATACAAAGATAAGGAGAGTACAGACGGCCCACGACCCCGCACACTGAGACATAAAAGACCGTTTGAAAACAGTTACACACGTCCCAGCGATGCCAGAAGGAACGGGTCCCGAGGAAAACGGGTCCTGGACCCTGGGGCCTTCCCCCAGGACGAGAGCGTGCTTCATCCGCTTCCCCAGTGGCGAGCCTCCAGCTGCATCCCCGCCAGAGCCAGCGACAGCAGCGCCCAAAGACCAACCTGCGTGACCGACAGACCTGCGTGACCGACCTGCGTGACCGACAGAAGTTGGGATCGACCAAAGAATATTGAGCCAGATTTCCCCTGGTGGCGAACCGCTAGAGGTCGACAACATGTTGCACCACTTTTGCTGTACATTTGCACCTGTACTGCATTGCTCTTGCCCCCCCCCCTCCCCCCCGATCTTAATATTGGGTGCATGGCGAAGAGCCCCTGTTCCGCCCGGGGGCTCCCGACAAAATGTTGCACCACCGAGCTGTTTCGACCAGCCCAGACCGAACCCAATATTAAGATCGGGGGGGAGGGGGGGAAACAAACGATTGATATAACAGCGATGCGATTTATTGTCAGCGCCAGGTGGTGCAATATTTTGTCGATGTAGGACCACGGAAGAATCCCACAAAAGGGGGCGGGCAGCCCTATGGACCGCCTGGTCGGACAGCCGTTGCGCCCGAGAGCTCCTCGTGTGTGTGTGTGTGTGCGTGTGTGTGTGTGTGTGTGTGTGTGTGTGTGTGTGTGTGTGTGTGTGTGTGTGTGTGTGTGTGTGTGTGTGTGTGTGTGTGTGTGTGTGTGTGTGTGTGTGTGTGTGTGTGTGTGTGTGTGTGTGTGTGTGTGTGTGTGTGTGTGTGTGTGTGTGTGTGTGTGTGTGTGTGTGTGTGTGTGTGTGTGTGTGTGTGTGCGTGTGCGTGTGCGTGTGCGTGTGCGTGTGCGTGTGCGTGTGCGTGTGCGTGTGTGCGTGCGTGTGTGTGTGTGTGTGCGTGAGTGTGTGTGTGTGTGAGTGTGAGTGTGTGTGTAAGCGTGTGCGCGTGCGCGTACGCCGCACCCACACCGCACCCACAGGGGGGGAGGGAAGGGGGGAGGAGGACCATGGCGTCACCCCGCACACACCCACAGCAACACACCACACCGACACCACATCCACAGGGGGGGGAGCCACCACGCCACGCCCACGCCCACAGGGGGAGGGGGGGGGCATCGCGCGGAGGGGGGGGGCCCGACGGCATTAACATTGGGGGGGGGGCAAACCCTCGACCATATATACTATAACCATCGCGCGCGCTTCGCGCGCGCTCAAGTTCTAGCCGGGCCCGACAGGCCAACGCATGGAATCTCAATTGTTGAGGCGCCTTGTGTATCTAACGACCTTGTTGGAGTCCCTGCGCAAGCCTCGGAAGCGTATAGAAGGGGGAATGCGGAAACCACAAAATCATCAACGTGCGTTAGGTGCTCGATGATTTGGGGCCCTCGAAGGCTTCCTGGGATCTTTCTTCGATGGTGACGGGGGCCTTAATGATGGCCTGATGTGCAAACATACACGGGGGGTGAATTTGAATTGGCCTGGCGAAGGATCCAACCATATGCAGTTGTGAGTACCGCTGTTGTAGGCATCGTCTTCGGTGGAGCCCCCTTGTAGGGCCACGAAACGCTGCCCCAAGAAAAACCCCAAACAGCCTCCGCGAATCCCAAGAAACTCGTAGTGTGTGGCTGTGCAAGGACACACACAGGCATGCGCAGACATTTTCACATGCATCCGTACGAGTCTGTGAGAGAGCGTGATCCACCGCCGCTATACTATGAAAACTTCCCCCCTTTCTTCCTCTGGAGCCCGGGGACCCCCCCCCTCCGAAAATCTCCCCCCCTGCTGGACCCTTCCCCTTCCTCCCGACAAAACCCCCCCTCCCTTAATCCCCCCCCCTCCGGAAAACCGGAAGGGGCCACTACCGGTTTCACCCCCCCCCCCTCTCCGGGAAACCGCGGGGATCACTACCAGTTTGAGACCCTCCCCCCCCCCTCGAAAACCGAGGGGGCACTACCGATTCGAACCCCCCCCCCCTCGAACACCGGGGGGGGTCACTACCGGTTCGAATCTCCCCCCCCCTCGAAAACCGAGGGGGTCACTACCGGTTCGAAGCCCTTCCCCCTTCCCACGCTCACCGCCAGCAAACAACTCTGGGTCCCTACCACCGTCCGCACCACATCCCCCACTGCTCTCCCCAACACCACTCTCCTCACCACCACTGTCCCCGCTGTTCCCACCACCGTCCCCACTGTCCCCACCAGTGCCCCCTCCACCGTCGCACTGACCCCACTGTGCCCACCACTGTTCCGACCACAGTTCCACTCTCCCCACTTTCTCCACGGCCCCAACCACTGTCCCACTGTCCCCGCTGTCCCACTGTCCCCGCCGCTGTCCCACTGAGCTGTCCCACTGTTCCCACCACTGCCCTGAGTGTCCCCACCACTGCCCCTACTGTACCTCTGTTCCATTATCCCACCGACGTCCTCGCCACCGCCCTCACCACTGTCTCCACCACCACTGTACCCTCCACTGTCCCACTGTTTCCACAACGTCCCCACTGTCCCCACACCACTGTCCCCACCACCACAGTCCACACCACTGTCCCACTGTCCCAACTGTTCCCACCATTGTCCCCGCTGTCCCCACCAGTGCCCCCACCAGTGTCTCACTGTCCCCACTCTCCCCACCGTTGTCCCGCTCTCCCCACTTTCCCCAGTGTCCCCACCACTGTCCCACTGTCCCCAGTGTTCCCACCACTGTCCCACTGCCCCCGCCGCTGTCCAACCGTGCTGTCCCACCGTCCCCACTGTCCCCATCACTGTCCCACTGTCCCCACTGCCCCCGCCACTTTCCCCACTGTACTACTGTCCCACACTGTCCTCACCACCGCCTTCACCAGTCCCCACCACTACCGTCCCCACCACTGTCCCACTGTCCACCAGGCTTGCGCGCAAAATGTTTCTCCGAATCTATTGGGCTGCGATCGAAAACCTTATCCTAATTCAGCGGCCTCCCTACGAAAACCTTATCTTAACTCACTGGCCTCCCCACGAAAACCGAATCCTAACACCAGTCTTGCGCGCGAAATGCTTCTTCGAATCCATTGGGCTGCGAGCGAAGACCTTATCCTACCTCACCGGCCTCCCTACGAAAACCTTACCCAAACTCACTGGCCTCCCCACGAAAACCTTATCCTAACACCAGGCTTGCGCGCGAAATGCTTCTCCGAACCCATTGAGCTGCTGGCGAAAAAATTATCCTAACTCAGCGGCTGAATTCCCCACGGAAGCCTTATCTTAACACCAGGCTTACGCGCCAAATTCTTCTCCGAATCCATTGGGCTGCGAGCGAAAACCTTACCCTAACTCACTAGCCTCCCTACGAAAACCTTATCCTAACTCACTGGCTTCCCTACGATAACCTTATCCGAACACCAGGCTTACGCGCCAAATTCTTCTCCGAACCCATTGGGCTGCGAGCGAAAACCTTATCCTAACTCATTTGCCTCCCTACGAATACCTTATCCTAACTCACTTGCCTCCCTGCGACAACACTATCCCAACACCAGGCTCACGCGCGAAATTCGTCTCCGAACCCGTTGGGCTGCGAGCGAAAACCTCATCCTAACTCACTGGCCCTCCCTACGAAAACCCTATCCAAACTCACTGGCCCCACCTCGAGGCAACGACGTCCAAACCTCAGGGGCACAGCGTGGGAACCCAATCCGAATACCTTGGGCTCCGCTCTGCGCGCCTCCGAAAACCTTACCCTAACCTTATCGAAGCTCCACGGGTTCTACGCGAAGCGCGAATAACTTCGCGCCTCGCGCTGCAATCTCCTGCTGTCCTAGCTCCAAGGATGCGGAGCGCATCCACCTTCGCTCTGCGAACCGTCGTAGGTTCAGACCGCGAAGCGCGAATAACTTCGCGCTTTTGCGCCGCCACCCTGGGAGCGCGAAGCGCGAGTAGCTTCGCACCCTCGAGGGAGCCCTTGCCTCCCAAACACTCGGCACCACCTCAGCCATGAGTTTTCTCCCGCCGTTTTTCCGATGGCCACAGTTGGCACCTTACTCACATGTCGTAATTGTCAGCCTTTTTTTCTGAGCACCCGATGTTGGCTCATGACTCGCATGTTCGTTCCAGGGGGTAAATTTGAATTGGCCTGGCGAAGGATCCAACCATATGCAGTTGTGAGTACCGCTGTTGTAGGCATCGTCTTCGGTGGAGCCCCCTTGTAGGGCCACGAAACGCTGCCCCAAGGAAAAACCCAAACAGCCTCCGCGAATCCCAAGAAACTCGTAGTGTGTGGCTGTGCACGGACACACACTCAGGCATGCGCAGACATTTTCACATGCATCCGTACGAGTATGTGAGAGAGCGTGATCCACCGCCGCTTTCCTATGAAAAATTCCTCCCCTCTTCCTCTGGAGCCTGGGGACTCCCCCTCCGAAAATCGCTCCCCTGCTGGACCCCCCCCTTCCTCCCGACAAAACCCCCCATCCCTTAACCCCCCCCCTCCGGAAAACCGAAAGGGGCCACTACCGGTTCGAACCCCTCCCCCCCCTCTCCGGAAAACCGGGGGGATCACTACCGGTTCGAACCCCTCCCCCCCCTCGAAAACCGGGGGGGGTCACTACCGGTTCGACCCCCCCCCCCCTCGAACACCGGGGGGGGTCACTACCGGTTCGAACCTTCCCCCCCCCTCGAAAACCGAGGGGGTCACTACCGGTTCGAACCCCTCCCCCCCCCCACGCTCACCGCCAGCAAACAACTCTGGGTCCCTACCGTCCGCACCACATCCCTCACTGCTGTCCCCAGCACCACTGTCCTCACCACCACTGTCTCCGCTGTTCCCACCACCGTCCCCACTGTCCCCACCAGTGCCCCCTCCACCGTCGCACTGACCCCACTGTCCCACCCACTGTTCCGACCACGGTTCCACTCTCCCCACTTTCTCCACGGCCCCAACCACTGTCCCACTGTCCCCGCTGTCCCACTGTCCCCGCCGCTGTCCCACTGAGCTGTCCCACTGTTCCCACCAATGCCCTGAGTGTCCCCACCACTGTCCCTACTGTACCTCTGTCCCATTATCCCACCGCCGTCCTCGCCACCGCCCTCACCACTGTCTCCACCACCACTGTACCCTCCACTGTCTCACTGTTTCCACAACGTTCCCACTGTTCCCACACCACTGTCCCCACCACCACAGTCACCACCACTGTCCCACTGTC